AGGGACGGGGTTTCGCCATGTTGGCCAGGCTGGTCCCCAACTGGTTGGTCTCAAACTCCTGACCTCATGATCCACCTGCCTTGACCTCCCAAATTGCTGGGATTACAGGCATGAGCCACTGCGCCTGGCCAAGAGATCTTCTAATACATAAGTCAGACTGGTTTCTCCTCGGCTGCAATCCCCTAATGGCCTCGAACCTCACTCAGAGTCACAGCCAAAGTTCTAGCGATGCCCTACGAGGCCTCCCGTGATGTGACTTGACCTCTTCTTGCTCCACGTCAGCCTCTTGGCCTGTCCTAAAACACTCCAGTCTTGTTCATTCCACCTCAGGGCCATCGCCTGTGCTGTTCCCTCTGCATGGAATACCTGTCCTCCTCCCATGCACATGCCTTCCTCCCCTCACTTCTCCTGGGTCAAAGGAGAATGTTGGGGCCCCTCTGTCTGGGCCTGTTTCAACCTGAGCTTTCACGAAGAGTGAGCCTCAGATTTATGTATCCCATTCTTGCCTCCAGCCCTGCCTACTCCCAAGTCACAGCCCGCAGGTACACCACAGCCCCTGTACCTGCACAAATTTATTGTAGCTGATGAGGCCTTCATTGGAGAGCACCTGGTTGATGGAGATGGTCTTGACTTGCTCATTATCTGTGAAGGAGAGAGATGAAAGGGAAGGGCAGGCACAGCACCCATGTGAGGGCCACCTGCCCAGGGAAGCAGACAGTTCACAGCTACTGGTCCTGCCGAGTCAGCGGCCTCTGACTTTCCCGGGCCTTGGGTGGGCACCACCTGTCCGAGCTTGCCTTGGCCACTGTCCACATCTGGGGGTGTAAGGAGTGGGAGGGTCTGGTTGCCATTGCGCAACGAACTTTAGACCTTTATTTGAGTTCATTGGAAGTGGGAACGCCTTTCGCTGGAAATTTACAACCGCCCCAGGGCACTGGCTGAGGATTCCTCTTGCTTTGGCTTAGCAGGGAGCTGGGTCAGTTGCTGCCCACCCACCCACCATCAGAGTCAGGTTTTATAGGTTCACTGACCAGCAAACCAGCCAGTCCTGGGATTCGGACACCACCAGTCCCCAACCCTGCCCTCCAGGAGGTGACTGCATGAAATGGGGACCTCCCAGGGGCGCAGCTTTTCCCAGCCTGATGGGGTGTCTGTGGAGATGAGTCTGGACACGGAAGGGGAGGCTAGAGTCAATGGCACGCAATCCTTAGTAAGCGCTTACCACGGGCAGGCCCCGAGGGGAGTGCCCGCATTCAGCATCTCATTTAACCCTCATGGTCACCCCCCACAAGGTATGCAGTATGATCCCCGCTTACAGATGAGAAAACTGAGACTCAGAGAAGTCAGACTTGCCCAAGGTCACACGGGTAGGATATGTGGGGCTTGTGATTCAAACCCAAGTCCAGGTCTGGCAAAGGGCCTCAAGCCTTGACCAAGGGAAAGGAGAGGGCGCCCCGACCCACGTGCAGGTCCAACACTCACTTCACCCAGTTAAAGGCAGGCAGCTGGGGTCCAGTCCCAGCTCCACTGCAATCTTGCTGAGGCCTCTGGGCCAGTGACTTCCCCTCTCCGAGCCTCACATTCTTGGTTATAAATGTGGGTGATAGTCATCCCACAGGCTTTCGTGAGATCAAATGAGATAACACATGTGATGCACACAGCATGAGGCCTGGAGCACTGAGGTGCCTGATAAGTGCTCTGGCCTTTGTGTCTGTATAAGACCGCAGTCCCTACCTAAGTGTTGGCCAGCTACCTCTCTCAAAATTCCGCCAGTGCCAAAAAAAAAAAAAAAAGAAAGAAAGAAAGAAAAAGTGGGTCCTGGCCAGACACAGTGTAATCCCAACACCTGTAATCCCACACCTGTAATCCCAACACTTTGGGAGACCAAAACCGACAGATCACTTGAGCTCAGGAGTTCAAGACCAGCCTGGGCAACACGGCGAGACTCCATATCTACAAAAAATTAGCCAGGCATGGTGGTGCATGCCTGTGGTCCCAGTTACTCGGGAGGCTGCAGTGGGAGAATCACTTAAGTCTGGGAGGTGGAGGCTGCGGTGAGCAGAGATCGTGCCACTGCACTCCAGCCTGTGGCGTGGCTGCTTATGACCTCCCTCCTGTGAATTCTCCCACTCTCCCTCCCAGCTGGGCAGGTTGGAATAACTTTGCTCAACCCATTCCTGGGTCTTGCTCACCATAAACATGGTTCTCCCTGGAAAGATGAAGGTGGCATATCTCCCTGCCTGGTCCATATTTTGGATTCAAGGATTTCTAAGACTTACTCTAGGTTCAGCAGAGTCTAGTCATGGTCCCTTAGGGAGTGACAGGACCAAGAAAGACCATATCTCTACCGCTTTACTGCTGGGGCTCTGGGGTTGTGTCGGAAAACGTTAACACTGGCAATCAGAGAGCCAGGGGACGTCGGAAGCTATTCTACTTGGGAGCGTCTGAGTTCTACAGAAGCTTTTTACTCTCTGAGCTGTTTGGTTCAGGATGCTATCTGCCTCCCCTGAGGCCATGGGACCAAGAAAGTCTACGATCCTTTGTGACAAAGGGTCTTTGCCCTGTGACCCCTGGGGTCACTAAGAAAGGGAGGCTCCTCTGGGATTCAGGCAGTCTCTGTGGGGCTGATAAGGGAGTGAATTTGAGAGCCCTTCCAGCAAGCCTGCCGGATGGCTCCAGTCCAGACAGCTCCCTCTCTCAAAAATTCCTCCAGTGGAAAAAAAAAAAAAAAAAAAAGTGAGCCCTGGTCAGACACAGTGGTTCACACCTGTAATCCCAGCACTTTGGGAGGCCAAGACCTACAGATCACTTGAGCTCAGGAGTTCAAGACCAGCCTGGGCAACATGGCGAGACTCCATCTCTACAAAAAATACGAAAAATTAGCCAGGCATGGTGGTGCATGCCTGTGGTCCCAGCTACCTGGGACGCTGCCGTGGGAGAATCGCTTAAGTCTACGAGGTGGAGGCTGTGGTGAGCTGAGATCATGCCACTGCACTCCAGTCTAGCTGATAGACCCTTCCCAAAAAAGAAAAGGCAAATGCCAGCCCCGTGTTTAAAGTGCCGGGAAAAGGGCACCATTAAAGGTGCTACAGTATAAAGCTCTCCAGGTCTCTCTCTGACCTCTCACAGTGGTTTTTATTTGCTTTTTCATATTGCACTTTGCGGGGGACACACGTGGGGCTGGGCAGACCCTTGCTGGTGTCAGGGCACAGCCTTGGGCCTCACAGTGGAGGCCTGGCTACCAGTGGGCTGTGCCTGGGCATGTCTCTGCTATGAGACCCATATGCTGTGCCCTGGCATGGGGCTGGCAAGTCCAGCCTGGCATCTCTTTCCTACAGACCCGCCACCCCAAGTCAAGGCAAATAGGCAACCTCCAGAGTACTGTGGCCTCTGAGCATGTGCCAGGTACCTGAGCAAGGCTGGGTGAGACACTTACGCCTCCCAAGTTGCCCACCAAATGCCCTTGCAGGACAGGGATGAATGATGTCATGAAAATGCTGAGCGGCACACGTGCCCAACCAACCCTCCCTATGCCAGGCTCCTGCTGGGGGCAGAGTGCTGCAGCATCTCAGGACAGTGACAGAGAGGGGGAGGCCTGGCACCAGGGCTCCAGGGAGCACAGGAGTGGGCAGCAGAGAATCTGTGCCAGGGAGGCAGGCAGGCTGGGAGACAGGACTGTGCTTGAGCAGAGGCTCCAAGCCCCACAGATACTCCATCGATCCTCACAAAACAGAATTCAGATTTCAGGACAGTGACTGCAGAACATTGAAGCTCCATGGTGTGACTGCACTGGTCACATCCCTGGGAAGCTGCTATGTCCCCACTCTGTCCATGTCCACCGTCTATCACCCCGATCCCCGGCCCAAGCAAGGTGTCCAGGGATAGGAGTGAGAAGCCCTGAATCTGGGGACACAGCCCTGCTTTAAAACGTGCCCTCCCCCCTCAAGCCGTAAAGTGTCTTAATTTGGGCGAGAGGCAAGCAAGTTGCGAGCGGGAAGGGACACGGCGCTGTTACCCACCAACAACCCCCTGGAACAAGAGGGCTCTCCCGTGGCCACACTTCCGCTTCTCCTGGAAGAGCTTGAAGCAGGCCCCCGGGCTGGCCAGGAGCATCCGGAAGCCCTGTGTGCAGAGAACAGATTCAGCTGAGCCTCCTGCCTTGGCATGATGCCCTGGAACTCAGTTCTTGCCCCAGATGCCGGGGAAAGACATGTCATGCACAAAGCCCTTACCTTCCCATCGGGGGCAGGGATGAAGCTCAGAAACTCATCCACGTGGCCTACAGCCAGCCAGTCCACAAAGAGCTCCACGGGGGGCTGCACCTTCTGCGCATGGAGGAAGTCCCGCACCACCTGGGTGACCCTGCGGCCACTTGACCTGGGGCCCAAGAGGTTAAAAAAAAAAAGTCGCTTAACTAAAAAGACTCCATGCAGAAATAAAATGACAAGAGTTTAGCATTTCTGCAATATCTGATTTTTTAAAAAACAAAACAGTCCGGGAACAGTGGCTCACACCTGTAATCCCAGCACTTTGGGAGGCCGACGCGGGCGGATTACCTTGAGGTGGGGTTTGAGACCAGCCTGACTAACATGTACTAAAAATACAAAATTAGCTAGGCATGGTGGCACATGCCTGTAGTCCCAGCTACTCAGGAGGCTGAGGCAGGAGAATCGCTTGAACCCAAGGAGGTGGAGGTTGCGGTGAGCCAAAATCATGCCACTGCACTCCAGCCTGGGTGACAAGAGCAAAACTCTGTCTCAAAAAAAAAAAAGACTCTGTCTCAATAAAAAACAAAAAAAAAGGTGGGGGGGGCGGGTCTTCCGGGACAAGGACGCATGGGTGAGGAAGATCAGGTTCAGTTACGTATCCCAGTAATTTGCCACATTCCAAAATGGACATGGAGATAACAGCATTCTGTGATGGCTTCAGTAACTACTGCCCTACTGAGCTCCCTCCTCCTTCTGGCTACCTTTGAACTCTAACTCCTTGCCACTCAAGAAATGTCCTTCCTTTCAGAATATGCCTTGCGCATGTCTCGTCGCAGTGCTCGGCTGTTTGGTGACGTCGCCAGGCCTACTGATTCCAAGTCTATGAAAGTGGTGAAACTGTTCAGTGAACTGCCCTTGGCCAAGAAGAAGGAGACTTATGACTGGTATCCAGATCCCCACACTTACTCTGGACTCATGCGGACACTCCGACTTCTGGGACTCTACAGAGATGAGCATCAGGATTTTATGGATGCGCAAAAACCACTAAAGAACCTTTGTGGAAAGGGGAAACCAAAGAAAGGAGAAGGGAAAAGAGCAGCAACAAAGAAATAATGTTGGTCCCTCAAGAGGGAGAATTTCTTCCTCAGTGACAGAGAGAAGAAAGTGCATTTACTGTCTTTCCACATATTGGAGGAATGTCATCTTCCTAAATGAAGGTTATTTGGAGGAACATGGTCATATCCTTCTAATCTAGTTAAATTGTGGCTGGTTTCTTGAACACATTCTAACTGTGCAAAATTATTTTGGCCTTGGCCATGTAATGTGACGTTTACCTAGTTCTCTAATGAAATGAATAAATAAAAACAAACAAAAAAATGCATTACTTTTATAAACGGGAAAGATAATATGTATATTTTAATTAATTAATTCTGAGATGGAATGCCACTCTGTCACCCAGGCTGGAGTGCAGAGTTGCCTCATTGCAACGTCCACGTCCCAGGTTCAAGGGATCCTCCTATCTCAGCCTCCCAAGTAACTGGGATTACAGGCGTGCACCACCATGCCAGGCTAATTTTTCTGTATTTTTAGTAGAGATGGAGTTTCACCATGTTGGCCAGGCTGGTCTCGACCTCTGACCTCAAGTGATCTGCCCACCTCGGCCTCTCAAAGTGCTGGGATTACAGGCGTGAGCCACCGTGCCTGGCCAGATATGAATATTTTACAATTCCATCAGGGTGAGTTCTGCAGGGGCAGACTCAGGACACGTCAGTCACACCAAGGCAATGACCCACCAGGTCCCACCATCCAGGAGAACCTTCAGAACTGCTTTCACATCCAGTTCTTATTCCCTAAGAGATCGATTTCACCCCCACGTTCAAGCCTTAGGAAAACGTATCTAAGCGCATGGCCCAGCTTCCTCTTTCAATGGGATTATGTATGTGAGGGGAGTAAGTCCCTTCCAAAGCTTGATTCTGGATTTGTTCATTATTTGATCCCAAGTCTGTTCTAACAGTTTTGCTGCATTTGGTGAGCTCAGTGTCTTGGTCTAATCCACAGCAAGTAACCAGTATGATAGAATTCCTTTTCTGTCACCACTGAACAACACAGAATTTGTTTTTTTGTTTGTTTGTTTTTGAGATGGAGTCTCGCCCTGTCGCCCAGGCTGGAGTGTAGTGGCACAATCTCAGCTCACTGCCACCTCCACCTTCCGGGTTCAAATGCTTCTCCTGCCTCAGCCTCCCGAGTAGCTGGGATTATAGGCACCTGCCACCATGCCCAGCTAATTTTTTGTATTTTTAGTAGAGATGAGGTTTCACCATGTCAGTCAGGTTGGTCTCAAACTCCTGACCTCGATATTCACCCACCTTGGCCTCCAAAAGTGCTGGAATTACAGGCGTGAGCCACCACGCCTGGCCCATAATTTGTTACTCTCTCTGTATGCTATTTTCATCTCACTTAGCATGTCTTGTACCTCACTTCACTTGCTCTCAGAAAAAGATCTGATATCAGTCATTTGCGTGCTAGTGTGAACAAGCTTTGACTTAAATGCATTTTCTCCCAGGACTGCTGGGAATAGAAACTTTTCTTCTGTGACTGTAGATTGACTAGCACTAGTATCATTATAACTTTGCTTTCTATGTGACTCACTTACCCTCTCTGGGCCCACTTGTAAAATCAAAATGTGGAACTGAACGATGTCTCAGGTTTCTACTCTTTCCAGTTTCAAAGTCCACGACGTGGACCACGTGTGGTGAACACCCAGCACCCCCACCACATCCGGGAGTAGAATTTCATCACTCCTTGTTTCTGATTCTCTTCAAGGAGTGGAATGACCCCTGTTCCACCACCATCACCGCCCCCAACCCTCAGCCTCCGCCCTGCCCTAGAAACGCCACTCCCGGCCTCTCACCCAGGCAGGTTGCCCCCAATGAGGATCCTCCCTAGGGGGTACTCTTTCCCATTGGCCACCACCGGGGGGCTGACCTCCAGGTTCCCAAAGGAGTCCAGGCCACTCACAGACCTGTCGCGGGGTTCCCGAGTCACGTAACCAAAATCTGGACCCTGGAGAGGGAAACCAAGTCAGGTGGGGGTGGAGGGTACCAGGAAGAGCCTGAACCAACTTGCTGGGCTCTGAGCTTCTTAAAGACAGGGTGGGAGAGGCCATCCATTCTTCAGATGGAAATACAGAGTTATTGACAGTGGGTGGGGCATCTGATCCAGTCAATATTTCATGCACACATAGCAGGCCAAGTTGGGAAGTGCTTGCATTCTCTGGCCCTGCCGTCTTATCAGGGCAGCATTATCCCCCATGGTTGAGGTCACAGTCACGGTCACCGTCATGACAAGACAGCACGGGGTGCTCTGGTTGCTCCTGCACCCGCCATGGCCACCCCACCCCCTTGCCTGCATAGCCTTCCTGCCAGGTCTAGCCCGAGGGCAGGGAGCTGCCCAAGGGGCCAGTTGTGGGAACCAAGGGGCTGCCGATGGCCCTCCGAGAACCTGTCTTTGAACTCTAGAGAAAGGGAGACCTCCCCAGGGCCATCTCTCAGAAGGAACTTCAACAACATCAAGGGCCAAGAGAGAGCTCCTAACACCTGTATGACCCGTGACGGGGTTGGAGGGGCCTCCTATTCTTTATGGCACCAAGCAAGTCACCCCTCTTTTCTCAGGAGGTCCCGGTTAGCAGCCATCACCTCCTCCGTTATCTTTTTTATGACAATAATGATACCAGCTAACTCCCTCCATGCAGGTACCGTGATGATGAGAAGCTTCACAAACGCCTGTGAGGCCAGAGCCAAAATATCATTTTTACTGATGAGGAAACCGAGGCTCAGAGAGGGGTAGCAACTCATGCAACACCACACAGCATGTAAATAATGGAGCAAGGCTGTTCTGGCTCTAAAGCTTGTGTTCTGAACAGGTGCACCGTCGTGCCTCCCCATTTAGCCCTGTCAGATTTAATCCATAAAAATACAGGATGCCCAGTTGAGTTTGAATTTTAGATACACAACACTTTTTTTAGTCTAAGTGTATCCCATGCAATATTTGGGACATACTTACACCAAAAAGTTACCTGTGGCTTGCCTGAAATTCATATTTGATTGGGCATCTCTTGCATTTTATCTGGCAACCCTACCCTTATCCCTCAAGAGCACAGTTTCCACTGCTGCCCTCTGTACCCCACACCTTGGTGTGACCCTTGGGGTAAGGCCTCTCAGCTCTCAGGGGTGGGCAGCAGCCAGCCGGGGACCACTCACCAGGATTCTTTTGTAAGGGAAATCCTGCAGTTCCCCATTCCTTGGGGAATCAAAGACCACCGGGAGGGTCTTGTGTGGCGCCTGAATGTAGCCCAGCTCCATCTCATCCTGCAAGTGAGGAGAGGCGAGACACGCACAGCTGTGACCATCACCAGCTGCCGCTGCTGGCTTGGCTCTGACCCCTGTGGGGCGGACTGCTCACTGTGTCCCCTGTCCCAAACCTGTTTTGCACTTGGAGATGGAGGGGACCGAAGTCAGGGTGCCTGCTGACTGGAGGAGGGGCGGGAGGCTCTAAGAGAAGGTACACTTGTCTAAGGTCACACAGCAAGACCGAGGCCAGAGGTGAACAAGAACATGGACATGACCTTGGGGGTATCCCCGTGAGTGCTGGGCCAGGGCAGGTGGACACAGAGAAGCTCCCATGTGGCCTGAGTTGGACAGGGCTGAGGGGTCCTGATGGGGTACAAACACGCCTCCTCCTCAGACCCATAAATGTGCCAGGCCAGCCTTGACGCCTCTGGTTCTGGAGGAAAAAATGGCCCCGTTTGAATGAAGGACATACCCACAACCTGTCCTAAACTCTTTATAGATAGTAACTCCATTCATCCTCATGACACGCGTAGGCATGGGCACCATAATCACCCCATGTGACAGATGAGGAAAGTGAGGAACAAAGACGTCTAATTATTTATCCAGTCCGGGCGTGGTCACTCACACCTATAATCCCAGCACTTTGGGAGGCCCAGGCAGGAGGACTGCTTGAGGCCAGGAGTTAGAGACAAGCCTGGGCAACATAACAAGACCCCCTGTGCACAAAAAATGAGCTGAGCCTGGTGGTGGCACCTGTAGTCTCAGCTACTCGGGAGACCGAGGCAGGAGGATCATTTGATCCCAGGGGCTTGAGGCTGCCAGTGAGCTGTGATCACGCCGTGGCACGCCAGCCAGGGTGACGGAGAGAGACGCTGTCTCCAAAAAGAAATAAATAAAATAGATTCAAAATAAATTAATTCGAAAAATAAATAAAAATTTAAAAAATAAAAAATGTTTGTCCCAAAGCTCACAGCTAGTTGGCGGCACAGCCAGGCTCTAAACCCAGTCCATCTTGCCCCAGAGTCCTGCCCCAAACCCCCTCACTGGACTGACCTCCAGCCAAGAGGAAAGCTCCTTAACGTGGCATTCGAGGTCTCCCACCTCAACTCTTGCCTTTCCCAGAACCAGTGTCCTGACTGAGGAGAACACACAAGGTTCTCTCTCGTGCCTCCCACCCCTGGGCCTTTGCACATGCTTGGCCTCGGCCAGGACCACCATCCTGTACAGCCTGGTCCTTGGCAGCCTGAGTCTCAGCACTGCCTTTATCAGCTCTGTGGCCCAGTCATGCTCCCCTGAGAGCTCCTGAATTATGGGGGATTTACAGAGGGTTGTCAAGAAGATGAAATGATGCTATGCCTAGCCTGCAGTAAATGCCGCAAAAATGGCAGAAGTCATGTGCACTCATCTGCCAAATCTGGTCCAGCTCAGATGCTCTCCCTCTCGGAGGTCTTCACTGATTTCCTAGGCAGAGGTGATGTTGCATCCCCCAAACCCTGCTGGCGCTTCGCTGGTGCAGCCTCTGTACCCCAGATCTTCCTTCCTTCCTCCCTTCCTTCCCTTCTTCCTTGCTTCCTTCCTCTTTTTTTTTCTTTCTCTCTCTCTCTCTCTCTCTTTCTCTCTTTTCTTTTGAGATAAGGTTTCGTTCTGTTGCCCGGGATGGAGTATAGTGGCACAATCACAGCTCACTGCAGCGTTGATCTCCCCAGACTCAGGTGATCCTCTGACCTCAGCCTCTAGAGTAGCTAGGACTAAGGACATGCCCCACCATGCCCTGCTTTT